TCATCATCAACATCATCAGCATCATCATCAGTGTTCAACACTGATGCTTCACTGCAGTACAACCGTAATTTTTTGAAAGCTGTATTGTAAAGGAAAGAATAAACTTGAATGGGGAAGAAGGTAGGTGCTAGCCCACCACACTCTTTCCTTATTCAGGCAATCTGGATAGGAATTGACCACTGAAATTGATTATCAGCCATAACTTGAATTGTCCCCAACCAGGAAGAGGTGAAGCCACACGGACCTTGTCCTGAAAAACCAGTTGTGCTACCAGTAACCAGACCTTTCGTAATCACTTGGAAACCCCTTTGTCAAGTGGAAAGTTGACTATTTTTCTGCTTACATCACACACACACACAGTCTCTTGCGCAGCACTGTCTTCGGCAGACGATGATCCGGAATCCGCGAAAAACGGCCCAAATACCGCAGATTTTAGTACTGGACATATTCTTCAATGAAAGTCCTCGTTGCACAACCGTATACTCGTCTCTGAGGATTTCCGGACACCAACCCATACTATTTATGCCTCTGGGACAATGGTTGTCGAAGATCCGCTGCTCGAAGAGGCCTTGTCTCTCGGCCGCACAACAAAACAGCCCGTACTGCAGCCTGACACATAGGTCCCTTGAGATTTAGGGACATTTCCCTCTGCCGCCATGGGTGTTTCAAATTAGTGAACGCGACCCGAGTTTCAGATATGCATGTGTCATCTTCATCTGTCACACTAAAATCGGAGTTTATACACCTTCTTCGATTCGTGAAATGCTGCACAATATCCCATGCACTTCGTTCAAATGATCTTATCATTTCTGGCAGTGTCCTTGTACATCGCCAGTTTGAGACCGTCCAGGTAGTTTGCAGTGTCCAGGTAGCTTGTGTTGTAGTACAATGAAGTCAGATCGCCCTGATGCTGTGAGGGAAGTCCAGAATGGACTACTTTTACAGTTGAGGTGTCTATGCGACTTCTTATGAGTACCCCTGACTAGTCGGTGTTTGTCTGCTAGTTGGCGACGATTGGGAATTTGGCGAATGTACAAAGAACGAAGTTAGGTAGTTTGTAAACAAACCAAGAAGTACGCTGTGAAGGGATAACCGTGGCTTTTGAAGAAGACTAAAAAGCACCAACTAGTGAGTTAAAACATTTACGCAAGATTCACAGTCTGTTCCCGATTGTCCTTAAACTAGTACATCAGTGTTGACCAAAGGCGTGGCATCCGAAGCCTGTGTTCACTTCAGAATGGGCCAACATAGTCTCGTCCTTGCATTGACCTCTCTCTCTCTCTCTGTACCTGGCTTGAGATGTAAACATCCTGATTTGGAACAATGATAACAAGACTTCATCGAGACGAAAACTCAATATCTTAACACCAAAATTTCCTCTTATTTTGACAAAATGAACAGCGTGACTGTTGTGTAGGGGTTAATTGTTCTGCCTGACTCAGCGTCCACCCACGCGGCGCACTGGGTAACCACAGGAAAGTGCCTGTTAGATTTCCAAAGTTAGTTTAGTTTGGGACTATGTGATCCTAATAATCTTGCTGAATTTGGCATCTGATGATATATGGAAAGGGACAAAAACCCTCGGAAGGTGCATGTGTACACTGTCTTTCGTGGTCACATTATCACTGAGAGACAGAAGGCGAGCATTTTGACAACCTAACATTCTTTCTTACCTATTTGCCATTCATCTAATCTATTGAACGTCCAAATATGAATGATTAATGGTTCACTTAACTAAGGATCAAGTTGGATGTTGGTAGAGTGAAACATCCATGCGTTGGGTTTACTCAATGAACTTGTCTCTTGTGACGATCTTGGACCAGCTGTGTCCCGAAGTCTAAGCCGACTGCAATACAGAACAGGGTGTAGTGACGAAATCGAGTGAGTCTAACCTGTGCCTCATATTGATCCATAGTTTAGAGAACAAGTTTGGAATTTTGCTTGGACTATTTAGTTTCTTCCGTCGTTTCAACTTCTGCTGTATCATCGACCCGCGTGCGAACAAGCATGTGTCGTCAGTAGGGGGGCGAGTTTACTGATCGGAAGGTTCGTGGTTCGAACCCGACCTCTGACTCTCGACATCCTCGGCTAGGCTTGGGAAACCTGGCAGTATTCCAGCCCTCGTGCTCCCTTCGTATAGCATGGCAGCTAGGCACCGGGTATTACAGCTGAGCGATTTTTCTAGTCATCCAATATGTATTTGGTGTGAATTACAGTCGCCCTTATATTACTGGGGTAAGATGAAATTAATTTGCGTACGGTTTTTCCTAGGAGGGTTTGACTCAATTACATTGAGATCACGTGGTTCAGCATTTATCTAACCGTTTTTTAGGTACAATACCTTAATTATTTAGACGGTACACCAGATCGATTCATTTTGCAAGGGCTTACAGTATTGCACAAGGGGTTCTGAGACGGAATGTTTACTCGAGATACACAGACTGTGTACTGCTGTGACGCTTCTACGGCGATGCCCTTAGGGCAGAACAACACACGTCAGAATGCTCTGCGTGGCAAAACTGACGCACGTGAGGGTGCAGGAGCGCCGCGCAAGTCGATGAAAAACCAACCAATCACGATCGGGTCTTCTGCCCCGACGAATCTGTCCAATCACGAGCACATATCACACATGCATTGACTGAATGATCAATAGACAGGCCAACTCAAGGCGTGCGTGGCACAAAATTGGTCTGCACGCAAGCTGGAGAAACGATGCAGAACCACGCCTATGTGCAGACCCTCGTGACATCTACCCGTGTCATTTGTGGAGCTAAACCTTTGAATTTACTCAGATGCAAGTAGTTTCAAGGCGGGATCGCTTTCAGAGCATGGGTGAGACAACCAATCAAATATCACTAGGACCGGTATTGTCCATATTTTAGAAAATGGGACGCTACTTGTCTCTGAACTTTACTCATTCTGGAGAAGTCGGTTGAGCTTGATTTGTTTCTCCTAGATTATCTTCTTAAGGTAGTTTTCCTCACGCACTCGAAAGACAAATTCACAACAGTGTTCTGGTCTTCCTTTCAGTCCGTGGTTCCCGATTCCCCAAACAGTTTGTGCACTCCCTAATCTTATGCTGCCAGCTGTTCGGATATTTTATTGGTACAAAACTTTTTGGACCAAGGTTTTTGTTTCGCTTTTCAGTAGACTGCGACGGCCCTTTTCCCCAAAATCCTCTAAGACTACTGGATACGTCTGTTTGGTATTATCCCGGTCCAAATTTGGTTCTAACATTCTGATCTCAAGGCAAACGTGGTTGCTCGATTCTTCAAATCGTTGTCCAGGCGCGACGGTTCAACCAGTACCGTGTTTATTAAGTGCACATTCACATCAGTCCCGTTTGAACAGTCGTCACGATTATTCTGGCGAATCCACATCAAAAGGGGGGAAGCACTGGACCCGAGTTTCGCTCTATTATACTAGCTGATCAGCAGAGCATATCCTTGATCGTGCCGGGGTTTTGACTCCGAATATCAGACACGTGAGGCCTTCGTCCTTGCTAGAGCACAGTAGACTGAACTCAATTATCACGTGTGGACAGGCGAACATATTCAAGCGTGAGCGATATGATGGGTTTGACCGACCCCTCCAACAACAACCCAGTAACTGTCCTGGTTGTGTCAGTGGAGCGACCCGCTTGTCAGGTCTTTCAACGAAAGGTGGGGTCACGAGACCTGCCTGACACTTTTTGTCTTCAGCTGTAAGTGGTTGCAGGTTGCGTTCACACCACTCTTGTTTGAACATTTCTACTCCTATTGTGTGTTGCTGCGTCCGTTTCGATGGAGGATTTTACCGGACGCTGCTCAACCCCGCACCCTGAACTATTAGTATCTTTCAACGTCTCAAAAGTCTCAGGTTTAGTCCCATTTTCACGCCGAGAATGCTTATAGTGTTTGGTGCACATACTTTCAACCACTCAATGCCTGAAATCTACTGAGACCCGCTAGATGCTGACCAGGTAGACAACGCCCCCTCAATATGCAGCATGTCACAGCCTCCTACCAAAGCCAGACCGAGTACATCAGCACTGGACCAGGTTCGCACAGTGTCCCTTCAATAAACAGCTTGAGGCTGTTGTGCTCTCGCACTAGCTTGTTCGGAATATAGAGTGTACTTACATTTTTTCCATCTGACTCTCTAAAAGCATCCTCAAATGATGTAGGAGAGAATTTTCGTATCCCCAGCATATCCCGTACACTCTACTTTGGTCAGGGGCTTGAACTTGACTCATCTTGGGGAAAGTCATTGCATGGGTTTAAAATTCAAACATATCCAATGATCCATCTAGCTTTCTCCCATAAGGTTACCCAATCTATCAGGGGTTGTCTGGTGAAGCACGCTGGAAAGAGGCGAATGTGGACTTCTAAACTGCTTGCCTTGAATCGCTAACCGATTGGTACCTGCACGTCGGCAGTGAGAGGGTTTCGAAGCTATAATTACATGTTTCCGTGGATTCGGAAAACTCAACAGCAGACGTGACGTAATTGGGATACTGTTGATGGATATATCTTGATTCTCTTGTCCGGAAAAGATGTCATAGTGGAGGCAGCCAACAACAGGTCACGTGACATGACGTGCGCTTCGAAAGGTCAGTAGTGCTTTGCACACCGGTAAATTTGAAGCTAGCGTTCACTCTCAGTTGATTACGGCTATCGGAAAATCCGAGGTCTCTTTCATTTTCCAGAGAATTTTTCGTTTATGTACACTTCTGAACGAAGTGGACAAATGCCTTGTGGAAGGTTTGGGTAGTGTTACATCGTTCTGAGAACAGAATGGTCCAATTAACGGGAAACGAAGGCAAACAGAAAAGCACTTAAAGTGTGGGAAGATCGGTGGCACAGGTCGCATCACATCAGTTTCCATGATTCTAAGTCTGTTCCCATGGGTTCCAGATGTGTCCTTGAAGATGGAATCGTTTGACCACGTGACTAAAATTCTGCGCGAAAATGATTAATCGTTCCAGTTCGCGAACGAATATCCCTGCGCCATCAGGGATGTTAAATTGTACATCCCAAACGCATTCTAAGACATGAGAACACTAAACTTGAGTGCGCGTTGTGGAGATCATCACGACATTTCTAATCCAGGTTAATCCTTCTTAAGTTATTGTATAGTACATATTTGTAACCGGATACAATCGAACGACGGCTTGCAAACAAGATGCTGCGTGGCACGTACGTTCTAGGTATACTTAAAATTCACCACAAACGCATTGCCTTCGAATCCACCGAGTGTAGAGAGAACAAAACCGAACAGCTGTCGAACGTCGAATCTAGAGGCGTGTGTGAGATTTGATCTATAAAACAGATTTTGTGTGAAATTGTGTCTAGGATGATTTGAATGAGATTTGATCTACAAAACAGATTTTGTGTGAAATTGTGTCTAGCCCACTGGAACACACACACGCACACATACCGATTTTTCTAGAAGCCTACCAGATAAATCTGGTAAAAACGAAATTCACAGAAAGATTTAAACTCATTGATAATATTGTTTGGTCTGCTGGAAACGCTGTGTCAATTCCAGCAAGTGTTTATTTAGCAATGGAAAGATTTTGAATTTGTCATCCACAGGGTTTTGAAGATATTCTTCCGAAAAATCTATTGATTCTTTGCTCCCGCAGGCCATGGAGAATTATACTCACCGAACTCCGGCACGCACGTTGTTGTGACAACAACGTGAAGGTTTGTTTTATCTCATGATGGTTTGATCGATCGAATCTAGCCAGGTTGTTCGAAAGGTGCCTCAATGTAGTGCCGCGTGTGAGCATCACGATCAAACAGTTTAGAAACGGGAACTTGTGGCTATGAGCTGCAGACCAATTTGTCAAAATGTTACTGTAGTTCACATTCCTTCGGTTACTAATCCCACACCTGACATCACGCTGATCACGTGCGTCTAGAATAGAAATGGAGAAATTTATCATCTACTTCAGGTCGCTAGAGATCAAGACAGACGGTGCAGTCTTTCGACCCAGGTTGTTCAGGGTTGGTTTGTGAGGATCAGGCTCAAGTAAAGCAGTCATAATCTCAACGATATCACCAAATCTTCACACTTCGGTAAGTGCTAGAACAACGTCATACGTATAAGCGACCCACTATTCTAGTATTCCTGGATTTCCGAGACGCATTCGAATCGGTTGATCGGTCTGTTCTTCTTAAGACGCTTGCCCACCAAGGAATGTCCCGGAAGTTTGTGAACATGATACGTTCTTTCTATTCTCAGACTTCCAGATGTGGGAGAATATATGGCGAGCTCTCCAAAGTGGTGTCCGTCAGAGATGCTCACTCTCTCCATTCCTGTTTAAATTCGTGATCGATGAAATAATGAGACGAACACTGGAGGGTCTCCAAAACCCTGGTGTTCAAACCATGTTGATCTGGAATATGCAGACGACATCGATCTCATGTCCGAAAAGGAGCAGTGGGCGCAAGTGTTTTTGGAGGAACTGACCAAGTTTATCCCGTCCCTTAGTATGCACTTTGCACCCACAAAGTGTAAGCTCGTGGACGTGCAGTCACTGAACACGCCACTTACAATCCAGGGAGAGGTACTGGAAGTTGTGGAGCGTTTTACGTACATTGGAGGTCGTATTAGTTCTGGTTGTAGTGCACGAATTTGCAAGGCTAGGGCCGCGTTTGCTAATTTGAGACACCTATAGCATCAGAATTGTTTATCCCTGAATCTCAAGGAACGTGTGTATCAAGCTACAGTACGGGCTGCTTTTGTGCATGGTTGTGAGACCTGACCCGTTCGGGCAGCGGAACTGAGACGTCTTCAGTTGTCCGACAATCGTTGCCCCAGAACCATAGCTCACGTGGGTTTGCGTCGGCAACCAGGCCGTTATGAGGTAATTAGAAAGCGAGTTCTCGGTTGTGCAACGGGTACACCCATTGAAAATGTGTCCAGCACCAGAAACTGCGTTGTTTGGGACATGTATTGCATACGCTCAAGCATCTTTTGCCGCAGAGAGTGCTGTTTACAATTCCCAAAGTGAAGGAAACAGAAGGGTGACAGAGGGGTATGAAAGAAATCACGGAACGTTTGAGTGCTGTCGGTGCTACTTGCCTTCCAGGATGGGGACCGCGTGATCCTCACTGCGCCTGGTTGGAGATGCTGCAAGATATGGCTGCGAATCGATGTCATTCGCGTTTGTATCAAAATTA